TACCTTTTAGTACGAATTTCCAAAAACCCCGCCTTATCACACGCCTCCTCACCAAACCCAACCTACATGCCAAATTTCAAGTTTCTAGCTTTAGTCGTTTCGTCAAGGTAGTCGTAGTCGTTTTGGTCATTATTATGTAAAATTTACGACAACGCCAAATTTTGTAATAGAGTTTTCTTTTACTCTGTTACAAAACCAAAAGTACAATTTTTTTACTTTTAGAAACCTTTTGGAATATTGTATTGGAAAAGCTATGTCATTTTGTATGCTTCCTAATTAATTTCTGGTAAGTGTAATTGTTATGAATTACGAGAAATTCAATAAAATAAATTCTAATGTAATAGTTAGTCAGCAAATATTGTTTTAATGCAATTTTAACACATTTTTTTGTATGCTCTCGTCAAAAGAACCTTGAACGACAAATTTGGAGTATTGTAACGACATATCGACGCCTCCGAACCATAGTATGCTAAGTCGACTTAGCATGTTTTAAAGTTCTGAAATTTTGGTAATCATCGGCCAATCCAAACCAAAGTTATAAACAAAAATGTACTTAGCATGACACGTAAGATTAAAGAAACTTCCATACTTTGAAAGCTTCTACTGAAAAACTCATTTTTCAGACTTAACATACTATTCTTCGGAGACGTCGATATATACATATATATCTGGCTGTCTGGTGCGAGCGATTACTCTCCAAGAGAGTAACCGATTTCATCCAAACTTAGCAGTTCGTAAGAAACATAAATCAAGTTCGAATATGGGGAATATCAGTCCACTCCTTCTAAGGTTGTGGAAAATGATTTTTGTAATATCATGCGAACGGACCGATAAGTCCGGTCCATTCCTTCTAGGATCTCCACCACAAAGGGTCAACATTTTGGAAACTTGTAAATCTCAAATCCAAAGATGGGTAATTCCGTACACCTCCGCAAACCATAGGCTGAGTGTATATGGGAATATTCAAAAAAGTTTTTAATTCCTTAAAACTGAGATTCGGCACCTCGTAAAATCATGACATTTTGTACGAAATTTTTCGCTAATAAATTGAAACATAAGTAATAAATATTTTTATTAAAAATATCTACAAAATGGTTGTATGCAAATTTTTAACTCGTAAACAAGAAAAAAATGTCATTGAAAATGCTATTGATAACGATGCATGGATCAACCAAATATTGCCACGGAATGTATAAAGGTAATAAGGAATATTTAAGCCGTGTTTGAGGTATTTGAAAGCTAAAAAAAGACATTATGGTTAAGGATCTGTCACTTAAAAAAAAATGGAAAAAGCACATAGCCTTGCTTGATGAGCCGCTGAATATGATTTGAAGGTCATTAAATAATTTGCCACTTTAAGAATTTGGAGAGATAAAATATCCCATGATTCGTTGTGTCTTTGACATCATTCAATGATTTAAAAAATCAATAAATAAAATTATGGAAAATATTACAAATTTCAATTATAATGGGGCAACACACATTGCAACAATATGGCAACACGAATCTTCTTTTCAACCACCATTTTCGAAAATTCGAATCCGCGTCTCGCATTTTATGCTTCTCCCCATTCATTCAGAATAAGGCGAGAATGTGTAAGTGAAACATTTTTTACATGGGAGAAATCCCCTTGGGGAATATCCAGAAAAGGCTGTATAAATGAATTTCTATAAATTGAAAATCTACATAATGACACTGTGAGACAAATTTCATTTTTTTTTTTGATTATTTATATTATTAATATCCACAGAATAGAGAAATCATTATTGTAAACTTCTGGTAGCCACTTATGTTCCAATTACTAATAATAAGCTTACATCCTTGAGAATTAAAAAAAAATCATGGTAGGAAAAACGTTGCTTTATGTTTGGCTACAAATAACTGCACGGTTATGTAAAATTCAATCATATGGTATTTTCAAATTAAACTTAAACTTTTCAGATATTGCCTTTCAAAATAATGCAATATAAACCTTTCTTAAGCTCCATTTTTAATTATTCAACAAAAAGATCAATTATAATAAGAAATAAAAACACAAAATGTTTCGTTTATCTCAATTACAACTTAAAGGGAACCCCCTATTCTCGGTTTCAAAAAATTTAATTTTGTATGTTGATTTAATTCAAATCTACACTAATTCAAGAATGTTCCTATGAGAACATTTCAATAAATTTCAAAAGACGGAAAGAGGGCTTCCTAATCTTTAAACGCATTTTCTCCAAACAGCGTTTTTGCGAATGACGGGCACGATAACTCAAAAACTAATAATCCGTTCGATTCCTTAAAGGAAATTTCAACTTTAACCTCAATTCACGCGTGTTTTTTTAAACAATGTGCAATCTTTTAGTGCACATTACACCTTATAGAAAATTTTAAGCACAAGGAAAATCTTTTTTCATTATTTGTTTTTATTGGTTTGTTTTCATTTCTTTGCATTTCTCATTTTTTATTTAAATCAATTTATTTCACTAATTTTGTTTGTTTAGTTTTCATTATCAATAATATAATTAATCATATCATTTTATTATTATGCAATGTTTTACATTTTCACTGTCTGCTTTTATTATTTTTACCTCCATATACATACATATGTATATGTGTATATACATACATATATAATACCATTATTTATATGAGAGTTTGTGTATTTTTAATAAATATGTATGTTATAATAATTTGTTGCTGTTACTTGCTTTATAAATTTTGGAATTGTATTTCTTCTTTTCATTTCCTTTGGATCTGTTCGATTTGGTTTTTGTTTCGTTTTATTATTTTGCAAATTTGACTAAACAATTTCAATTATTTCATTCAATTTGTTAGTGTGTTTGAGCGTTCTCTTTGGCAATTTTTGTCGTTTATCATTTCCAACTTTTCGGGTCTATGTGTGAGTGTGTCCGTTCTTCCGTACATGTGTTCTCCGTCCGAAGTGCCATTGCCAAGCTTGTCAAAACGAATGCTTGTACATATGCTACCGCACCGATGTTCAACTTATTCGCATCCTGGTTGTGTAAATGTGTATTATTGTATTGTTTGTTTGTGATTTTTAATTTATTAAATTAATTTTATTTTTTAATAAGAATTCAAGAGTCGCTGTTGACTGTGTGTCTATGTCATTATTTGCATGGAATTAGTGTGTGAGTGTGTCTGCCTTCGTTACGTTCCCATTTGTTTTGAGTCCACTTATTATTTATTTAAAGAATCAACAATTTTTTTAAACAGCTTCGCGCCCTTTGTCATCACTTGCTTATAATATATGTTATGGTAATTATATAATAATAATAATATTTAATAATGTTCTTATCCTAATTATATAAGTTTTCCTCTCGACTACAGCTCATCAACACATCGGTATGGGTTCAAAAGTTGTTATTATTTTATGTCTATTTAGTTTATGTATTAAATAAATAATTAATATTAACACTTAACCTTGTTACAGTTGCTGTTTTGTTTGTATGTCACTAGTGTCTGTTGTGTTTCATTATGTCATTTGCATTGTTTATGTTTCATTGAATATGTTTTCGAGTCTTTTTGCTTCTTTTGCACATATATTTCTTCATTTCATTTTCACTATCCCTTAGCTACGCGATCGATTTCACTCTTTGTCTGTGTCATAGTATTTCTAACACCCTGTATTTGCACTTTTGTGAGTATATGTGTGTAAGTATTTTCTAAATGTCTAGCAAGATCTATACGAATGTATATGTGCTCTTGTAGTGTGTCCTTGAGCGTAAGAGTGACCTAAGTAAAAATTTGGCATCTTTGTGTTCCTTTCAGTGTGTGGGAGGGGCGGTATTTTGTAAAGATAGTTTGTTCATTTGTAATACTGCTTAAAATTAGAAAATAGTTGAGATGTTAACCGGAGAAGGGAGATTAATTAGCAACAAATTCGCATCCTAATGTAAGAGATACCCTCTACTGAGGTTCACTTTCTAAAGAATATTTCCTCTCCGCTTGATTAAATTCGCTCGCCGTTTCTCCAGCCAAAGTAATTAAGTCTATAATCGTATCCGTGTGTGTATTGAGAATGTGTGTGTGTATAAATGTTACTTTACGTTATGTTCGGTTTGATTTAGTTTTGTTATTTTACTCAACTCTTTTGGTTGAAACCTTGGTTTCTATGTTTCTAAAGTTATCGTGTTTTAGTTAGTGTATTCTTATTTCATTGTTTGTTGGGAAAATAAGCTCTGGAAGTGTGATGAACAGTGGTTGCGTTGAGTTTCGTATTCTTCAAATTTCACTGTTCATTGTCGCAGAAGAGATGTTCGGAAGGAGTGTGGGGAATTGACGTGTTTGTTATTATCATGCATTTTCTCCAGGGATGAGTTCGCTAGTCATATTAACAGTGTTGTACAATATTACAACCTCACAAATATAAGAGTATTAGAACACAATGAAATAAAACACGAATTATATTAAATGCTGGATTACCCGAATGTGTAACGAACGTAGTGAAACCATATTATTGTAATGAAATCATAAGAGGGTAAAGGTACCCATGATTTGACAATACTAACATAGGCGTAGACATTTGACCGTTGGAGAATTATTCTCGGTTAAAAGATACCCGTGTTTCTCCGTCTGTAATGCCATGGAGAAATTAACATTCTTGTTAATTGTACGATTTTGTTTTTTTTTTACAATTAAGATATGTTAGAGATTACCCTTATATTTGTTCGTGTTGTTCAAGGTCAAAGGCATTCATTATGGTGTTTGGGATTAAGATAGGGCATTTTTGCATTTCAATACTCCTACATTGCATTACATCGGTTATTTTGTTATTTAATTTTGTGCATTTTGGTATTGGCGTTTCTATATATTTCCTTTGTAGGTATATTTCGTAACACATTTAACTAAACTTATTAAAAAGTATGTGCTGTTGTTGTATTTTAAATTAATGTGATTCTGTTGTTCCTCTTGTTGCCTCTCTTCTAGTGATTATCCTGTTCTATGTATATAGGTGTGTTGTTGTATTTTTGTATTTGGCCATGCTGGTCATCTGCTATCACCACGTTGTTCTTAGAAATTTTGCCATTTTTCTGTCGCACATTGGCCGTTGGTATAGGCCTCCCATTCACAATCACAGCCCTCTAAACAATCAGGGCATTCCAGCTCACTGTCTTGTCAGTACATCCATGAAACGGGTATCCACTGTGATGTGGTCTGCACACGTTCGATGGCACTCTCCAGACACGCGATAGTCTCGCTAATGTCGTTGTTGACGATAGTCAAATCAAAGAAATGTCCATACATTTGGCGTAACATATCGGATTCCTTGGCCAAACGTTCCAAGCTGCCGTCATACTAGAAGGAAACAGTAATTATGCATTAGGAATATTAAACGAAATGAAATGCCCAGTGCGACATGGAATTGGGAGAGAGTACATATTCCCTCTTTTCGTATTTTAGGGCAGTGGATTATTCGAATACTTACATCAGCAATGTTCTGCAGTGATGGCGCCGCAATAAACACCACGTACGGCGTGAATTCGGCTGTGCGCAAAATTTTCAATGCTTGAGGTTCCACATCAAGTATTGCCATTTTACCTTCGGTATGTATGCGTCTAATTGTATCTAACTTCGTGCCGTACATCGCATCTTCGTGAGTGCCTATTTAGTAACACAACCAAGGAGGAGAATACAATGTTGAAGCCCAGATTAGTCACAAAAGAGGTGCCTACTCACCGTATTCCAAATATTCATTTGCCGCGATGTCCGCCATCATTTCGTCATGTGAAACAAAATAATAACTTCGCCCGTTCTCCTCATCGGGTTTTGGGGGTCTGGTTGTGTCTGTAAAATAAACAATAAACACATCGAATCGATTAAACATTTATTTGAACTACCAACTTCTGCGCAGAGGTTTGGTTTGTGTTTTAATCATTTAATTTACTTACGGGGTATGGGATAAGCATATTTATCAGGATATTTGGATATTAAAGTATTTTTGATATGACGACGACCCACGCCGTGAGCACCCAATAAAACCAATGTCTTGCGTTGGAAGTTCGGATCACCAACTGTAAGAAAACATAATATACAAAAGCGCATCGACATTAACTTGTATGTATATATGGACGCGATGAATTTGCTTACCCGGGACTTTTACAACCTCCTCGTACGTTACCAGTTCCAAATTGTCGAATATACCACTGTGTTTCGCCAAATATTTATCCCGACATTGTTTCTTTTTGCGTCCGAATATGGAACAGTTCACTGTTGACAAAGAGGCAAAAGATTGTAATCAAACATTAATTTTTATGGTCCAATTAAGGTGATGCAAGACTATAAATTTGAATTCATATTTGTAAGTCAACATATGGCTAGATCGCATGCTTACTTGCGAAACATGCTTCCGATTTTTAATATATCCATAATAACGAATTTATTCAAACCATTGAAAAAGCGTAAACATGCAATATTAACAAATTGCAATCAGACAGAAACAGAATAAATGGGGATATTTAATTGTACAGATTTGCGTTACTAAATTATATCAGAATTCATACAAAGTTCGTGAGTGTGGATGTTGACGAGTCTCGTATTTCATTGGCAATTTATGTTTAAAATGGTTATTAATTAATTTATTTAGTCATAATAATAACTTTTAAATCAAATAGCAAACATCTAATTTTTTTTTTACATTTTCGAAATACAATAGCAACGTAAAATGTAATTGTCATGTTGTATTTATTGTCGAATCTTTCGACAATAAATTTATCTAAAAAGAAGATTTTTATCCCCTAAAAAAGTACGAATTTTGACGTATGCTTATCTTTTGTTTTATAGGATTTAAAAATTTGGTCAGATCTTGTGTACGGTAACACACATTAAATGACAAAATTAATGTAACCCACAATTCCTTTCAATATAGATCTTCAAACTTTCATTTACATTCGAAAGTGGTTGTCGCGACATGTCGGGTCAAAAAAAGGTATGGAAATCCCTTTATTGCAGAGTAATGTTAATACAAATCTACAACCAGACCGACAGACCGAATCAATCAATGTTTCAATGGTCGACAATGTTAGGTATGGAATCTATTTTTAATAACCATGAGGGCCCATTGGGCCTAATGTGGTATAAGTATAGGCGACTAAAGAGAAAGAGGGCATAGGAAACTATTGATGCTGTAAGAGAGAACCAAATGACAAATTTGTTGGCTTCAAAGAACAGAACTGTAGAAGTCCAGGAACGAAAAAAAGTAAAGTTACATAAGTAATTTTAATTTCCTCAATTCAGTGATTGCAACAACAAACGAAAATGTAAATAAATGGAAAACTACAATTGTGTAATAAAGTTTTTTTGCAATATAGAGAAAATACTACATTTATGTCATTCCTGCCGAATTCGTATAGACTTTGGCTTTGGCATGTTCAATTTCAGTTCAGTTCTACTTTTTGTATTTTTTCAGTCATTAAAGGGTCCCATACACTATACATCTTGCCGTACTGAAATATCATTCATTCTCAAACTTGTCAGTAAATAACTGTGTGTATAAAAAAATATAATTGTGACGGAATAAAAAATAACTGAATTTAAATTAAATTTTGTGGACAAAAATCATTGTTTTTTTTTTTTTTTTAAATTATAAGGACGACTTGATGGATAGTGTATGGGGCCTTCAAATTAAAATATTTCGTCAACTTGTATATAATATATTCATTGCAAAAACAATAAAATCGACATCTAAATCATATATTCGTCGGTATAAAAGGCAAATTAAATAGCGAATGATATACAATGCTATAATTGAACAAGCTAGTTAACAGAAATAATAAATACTACATTTTATATATGAAAATACAAAACGAAGATATTTGTATCTGCTGATGAGATGGACAATGAGATGGTGGTGAACGAACTTTCTCTACGCTAAATACGTTAAAAATTAACTTAAGGAACAATTTCGTCGTGTACCATGGAGAAATGCTTCCATTATCATCCAATGAGCAAAAAGTATATTATTCTACAACTGTATACCTAATGGAACATGACACCAATGCGTTCTATACCTTTCGAAGTATACATAACGATAATCCCATTTGAAATGCATAAATTTCCATTTGATACTCATAACATTTCATTTGAAATTTATAAAATTTTATTTGAAATTTATAAAATTTTATTTGAAATTTATAAAATTTTATTTGAACTTTTATTTCAAATTCGAAAAGCATATGAAAAGGGTGTAGGCCAATAAATCAACCAGGATAATTTGCGATATTATGACAATAATCCAATAGAAATTTCTTACAAATGACTCTTGTGTTTTACACAGGGGTAAATTAAACTGGGGGACATAAACTATCTGACAATGAAGAAACCCACCCAACAATGCTCACTATTTGCTCAACTATAAGAAGAGTTTTCATTAGGGGTTTTGATTTATTTTGTTTTGATAAAAACAGCATTCATACATTCAGAGCAGAATAAAAATAATTTTAAGGGAATTTAGGAATTTCGTAGTCGCTTATTCTAAAAAAATTGTTGTTAGGTGATTGGTAGTATAATGTTTATCATAAATTTTTGAAATATCTGTAAGGAAGACATACCTCCGCGGCTTTAGTGAATAGTACCAAAAATGTACAGATTGTGGTGGCAATTTTTAATTTGATAAAAGTGATCATGATTGGCAATGTAAAGCGATAGATAATACACTAATTTGAATTGAAATGATTATTAACTGCTAAAAATCGGTGGATTAAACGGTGATAGGAGAAAAGGCATGTGCATGGAATTTGAATATGTCCTTGTGTGAATGTGTATTTTAATTGTTCTCTACAATGTACCTGCGGATCCATCACATCCTTCTGTAGTGTGCGCGGAACATCCAGCTCCGGGATCTCCTTTTAGACGGCCAATGAGTATTAGTGGTAGTGATAGTGGTCGTGGGTAGGGTTTTTAACGTGTTTGTATACACAGATACAACATTACATATATAGAGCAATTAAATTTAAAACATTACAACTTGAATGCATTCGTATATTTATATATGTTTATACTTTGTATGCATGTATCTATACTCCTCCGACAATATTTATTCTTTGGTATATGCTCAAAAAAGACGAATTGTTGTGGGGGTCATATAGTTAAAATATCAATTATAACACCTAAATGCATCGATTGTGGTTTCAAACTTGTTCCGTATAGATATATGCAGAAAATAATGAGAGTACACATTTTTATGTTTATTGCGATTTCAAACTACTTGTTGTATTTGGTGGAAGGAAGAATGCTGCATAAGCTCAAGAGCACTGTTAGGATTGTTAAGCAATACAAAATTTTCTTAGTCTTTAGTTCGTTATAAACGTTCGAATGTATGTGAAAATTCACTAGTTCGATATAAAAAAGTTCATTACAACCATGTTCGTTATAAACTTAGTGATTTGTATGAAAAATACTGTGGTACCACAGTTCGATATTCGCATACATTTCCCGCTCCAAAAACTTTCTCAGCTATTCTAAACAATTTAGAAGAATTTGGAACGTTTAAATTGCTAAATTAAAACATTAAAATATAAATTTGTTATATTTGAGGATGTTGTTGATTTTTAAATACATTCAACTTTCTAGTTTTCTGCACTCATATGTTTCAAATCTTTTCATAAATTTGCCATTCGAAATTTAGGCATTTTCAGTCACTGAAAAATTTTGTGTTTCTATAAATGTAAACATTTTTCGGTTAATTAGAAAAATATTTAATCCATTTTCGCTGTTTTCAATTGACACACAAGTAAATAAGGTCCTTGCATATTTGGGTAATACGGACGTTCAACAAACCCTATAAATAGTTGCCATTATCAATTTCTCAAATGACACTACCTTCCCTAATTATACCATGGTTTTGATATTGAACTAGCATGAGCTCTATTTTATTATAATTCATTTTTAAACTATATCGGATGAAAATTAATGACAACTCTTAAGAAAATATAAAAATACTCCCCTACAGCTGTGCCCGCTTTTTGGCAAAAGTAATATAATATTTTGACATACATACATATATAACAAATGTCTTTTATTTATATTTTCTAAAAAATGTGAAATTTGAATGGCATGAATGTTTTATATTTATAAATAGCACACATAGTGCTTGATAGCTTATTATTATCAAAATACCTTTGAATACATTTGATATGGCCAATTAAAACATGTCTTTGTTTTAACTGATTTTGAATATATTTAGTCATTTCAAAATCAAAGCTATAGGGACTGACCTAAGCTACAAACAGAAAGAAATTGTAATCAATTGCAAATTCTGTTGATGGGATTGAAATGGTCGGAATAGCATAAGCATACATATAAATGTCTGGAACAAATTGGGTCTATGTACTTGCAACATTTAATTACGTAAATGAATGGTATGTAAGTTATTATAAATGTTTATATACTGGCAAGTTTTTATATAATTAAAAAATATTTAATTTATAACAACAAAATGATAACTTCCTGAAATACTGTGTTAGAAAAACATAAATTGTCCATGCTAAATTGACGAATATTAAAAACTGCCAATTTTAATATGAATTTATACAGTAACATATTAAAACCAATATTTTTGTGTTCAATAACAAATGTCTTTGAGTAATCGGAATCATTCATTTACCAGCCCTTTGAAAATCTTGAAAAGTTAAAATGGAGAATGTGGGGGTTCCTTAAATAGGGTGGTTCCCATATACTTTGCAAATATGTTAATGCTATGTTCTTAACAATATGTTGTGGTTAGAAGTCTTGGAAAAGTTAGTTTATTTCAAAAGTAGCAATAATATGAGAGGGCGATTTAGAAGTCGAATGAAAAAAAAAAACAAAAATATTAAATGTATTTCCAATTTTGATTACAGATTTCGTCCTGTCATCTGACAACGATTAATTTCCAAAATTGGAATTTATTGAATGAACAAAACATAAGCAAATTATTGTTCCCCGTGTGGAATACCTGGTGGATTTTGAAGATAGAATACCAATCAATTGGCAGCGGTATATAATACGAAGATGCAATATGAAACATATAAATATATGAAAAGGGTGATGTTGATGTATTTCAATGTTGTTAGGTTAGTTCTTAAGATAATGAATATATGACAAGAAAATCAATTTAGAAATGTATAAAGATTAGATAAAATTTCACATAAAAAATACACATAAATAATGAGCATCATACAATTGAATTTTGACACAAAATGTTTCGATCAATTGGCGACGAAGTACGCAAGAGTCCAATATGCACATAGATTATGCCTGTATGTGTCTTTGTTTAAATATATTTTTTCCTTCTATTGTACTAACCTTGTTCATTCTTGGTTTTATCTACAGTTTGACATCGTATACGCCATTCTTGCAATTCTGGTGAAGGTATAAGGCCAGCTGAACCGCCAATTGCATCAATTCGGGCCTGCCACCAATGCTGGTCATCCTTGCTAATAATCTGCACGGGGTTTTTGGAAACGACAATAAGTGGTTTAATTTAGTACATATAAAGAGACTTACTTGCAAAATATCGCCTACTTGAAAGGCTATACCCGCTTGTGCACACGGTATCAGCTCATCATCCAAGGGATTGTAGTCGAATTGTGCCCTTACAAAAATCTATAATGGCATGGAAGTTGTGCTTTTTAAATATTCAATTCAGCTAAATTTGTCGTATATTAATAAGTTTTATCACAAATATTACTATATACTACATTATTGGCCATTTTTGATAGATCACTACTTATATATACAGTAGTGGTCAAAAACATATGCAACTGAAATTGACATTTCCCAGACATTTTTGGTATTTTGCTGTACAATTAATTCATAAAATAGATAACTCGATATTAACTGGATCAAAACATATGCAACACTAACAAATTTAAAAAAAATATACCGTGATTATAGGTATCATATAGTTATATTTTTTGCAAAGTTTAAGTATTCTTGAATGTCAAGAGGTAATTTTAATAAATTTGTAATAAAAAAGTGTAATATACGGTCACAAACAACCAAATAAAAATGGCAAGCTATAAATTCGGATTGTGGCAATTAGAAAAACTCATTGTTGGCGATTATATGATTGGAACATCATTGAGAGAGATGGCTGAAGAATATAATGTCCCCAGAAATTGAATATCACATATAGTGAAGAAGTATAAATACACAATCCCAGTACGGTTTTCTCGTAATCAGGTCTGTATATGGCTTGCCATTTCTATTTTGTTGTTAGTGACCGTATATTACAATTTCTTTATTAAATATTTATTAAAATTGCCTCTTAACATTCAAGAATACTTCAACTTTGCCAAAAATATAACCTATCATACATACATATTATGCATATGTTTTGACCCAGCTAATATGGGGTTATCCATTTTATAGTTTGTAATCTTTTGTACTAATTGTTATGGGATAATGTAGTGTTGTTGTTCGAGAACACAAAAGTTCAGTAAATGTGAGCAAGTTGAGAGAGAAGTTTATACAGTTGTTTAGAAAAATTTAAAAATTATTATTGTTTTACTAGCAGACCCAGCAAACGTTGTTTTGCCTTATCAGAATTGTATCAATATAGGTTCGGTAAAAATGAACGAATTCATGGAAAATACTAGGTTATCCCATAAGTTTCATCCCTTTCGTACTGAATTGCATATCCCATCTTGATCAAATGCCTATGTACCGTTGTCTTGGGAATGTTAGTGTCATCCACTATCTCGCGCACACTCGGATTTTCAGCGAGCACAGTCTTGATAAGGTCCGCATCCGTCGTTACTGTGCGGCCGTTGCGGCCGTTGCGGTCTTCATCTTGCAAATCAAAATTACCGACTCTAAATTTCTTAAACCAATTGCGGACGGTCCTAATGGTTGTGGTACCAACCCTATATTGATGCAATTCTTATAAGGCAAAACAACGTTTGCCGAGTATGCTAATATTGAATATTTATTGACATTTTTGCACAAATATAGCTGGTTTCGTTTCCTATTTAGAATACGTTCACGTTTCAGCCAATGATTTAGATATCGTGGGGTATATGCCATCTGCTGGTTTTATAACATAGACAAATTTGCCCATATTTCATGAAAGGTAAGGAACTTCTCTGTAAATTGTCGGTATAGTATCACTTTATGATATATTACCCATATAATGGTAGGAACATCGGTCCAGCAGTACCTTCAAAATATGTTGTTCAAGATTTTCGCGAATTTTTCTATAATTAAAAAAAAAACTCCCCACTTTAAATACAGATAACTGATAGAAATTTTGAAATAGATCAAAAAGAACCCGTGTGAGCCGATCATTTTAATTTAAGAATTTTTATTCAACTTGTAAAATTAACCACGTTTTGGCACCTGAAACTTGAAATGTACGACAATTCACAAACTATCGGCAGATCAAAACATCACACCAAGAAAATGAAAACTATTTAACGATTTTCGTATACACTGAAGCCAAATAAAAAGGAAATAGAAAAAAATGCAGATCTAAAAACTATTCACAAATGTGGGAGAGAAAGATGAAAAGAGGCTACTTACTAGAACTGGAGCTGGTCTTATCCTGAAAAGCTGCAGGACGATGATAGTCGTTGAGATTGATTGAGATTTTTGTTATTAACGTTCATTTATGGGAAAATATTATTAATTTTCGCATAAAGGTTGAAGTGTCAGTGTCAGTCAGTATCGCAGCGAGAAGAATGAAATTGTATGTTAATGATAAACAAACGAGTAAATATGAACTAATTACACGAAAACACATTTGGAAATAGCAATCAACACAAGAAGTATATAAAAAGGATACTACTGCGATAAAATGAAAACAAAGGAACAAAAAATTACAAGTGTACATTATACAAGATGAACACAAGGTACAAACACTTGCTAAGGTTCTATGGTGACGGTTGCGTTATGCGCTGACATGTTCATGTTCCTCGGTCGGGAAATATAACTAACTTTGCTAGTTCTTGTAACCGGTAAGCAGTTAGTAGTTTGTACAGATATCCCAGCAAATAGCAATGCCGAGCCCCTTGTTCAATTCTCCATGGACACAGTCTCAACATCAAACAAAGCTCAGGAAGGGCACCTCGACTAAAATATATACTCAAATGAGCGCTGAATAAATACTTTACTGTCAACTCATGCATGACCGTACAATGGAACCTTGGCATTAACAAACAGACCCCCACAAAGCAACAATGAAGTTCTTCGCGCAGGGACATAAAGCAACAAAACTGAAACTGAAAACATCAAATCATAAGTTCACAAGATAAACATAATGCGACATTCATTGGGGGGACAAATGAAAACGAAATAATAAACATAATTACAACAACAATGACAAACATAATCCAATTGTTTGTTTTGCTCTTGCATCATGGGTAGTGATAATTACCTCGCATGGTGGAGGAGCACTTCTATAAGAAGGAACTATTTTAAAGGTAACAGAACCGCGTGCCTCTCGCTGCAAGGGTAAAAGAAGAAGTATACGTTAATGAGTAATTGGGCACACTACATGATCAAGTGAGACCGCTACATACCAACATTCGTTGTAACTGTCCCACGGATTGGTTCTGCACTGACTGACCATTGATTTCGCGTATTTCATCGCCTACGTGTAATGTTGCTTGTCGATGTATCATTCCACCGTGCATGATGCGTGCCACCAGACAACGGCCGTCTTCGGTCATTTTTAATGTGATGCCCTGTAACAGATAAAAATAGTATTAGTAAGTAGTTCATTCGAATGTGATACGAAAAATTGGAAGTGCAAGTGAGTAAGAATATCGCTTATCTCCATTGACTGAGGGCGGCCAAAAGACGAGCTATTGGTAGTGCGGCCGGGGAAACTAATAATAATAATAAGATCATGGAGCACCTGCTGGAAGGGAGAATTCCTTCGATCTGGATAGCTGCGAATTCAAAGAGGACTAGCTAATGTTACAATTTGAGTCGTCAATAGCATAGATAATCAGTAGCAAATTTAGTCTCCATAAACGAGACTACTAAAATTATCTTTGACATCGGACAATTCCACTAACCCTGGACTATTAAAATCAAGGTCTTTGGACTAAAGCATGTACTAACTCACACCACATTGCATGGGATAGTACTAATACTAGCAAAAGGGACAAGCCTTTCTAGATTACTCCTCACACCTGACAGATTACTCCTTCTCTGACCACAAATATATAAGGTTTAAAATCTTACGGCTAGCGCCGAAAGCCATATACTTCTGGAACAAGTCCAAGTCTAATTGAATAAAATTCTGGAGACTGGAAAAAAGAGAGAACTGATGCCATAGACAGGAATGTCAACAACCTAACGGAAACAATGAAAAGTCATTCATTCGTAGAATGTTGTCCTCTTCGAGAAATAAAATCTGCCTTTAGAATTTCAAATGGAATTCTTTAAAATTAAAAAGGAATTTTATGAATTTTAAATGAAATTCTATGAATTTCGAAAAGTAAAAAAGGGGCATAAAAAGACTTAGATCGTGGTACGATAGATTGTATACGGATAAATAATTTTGGACATAACTACTAATAAGGCTACCATTTAATGACCAATTGTAAAAGTAGGTTCTACTTAACTTAAAACATGTACATATATACTTACCATTGGTTCATCAGTATTTTTTTGGAACTGTACCAATCGAACTCGTGTCACATGCTGCAATTCCCCACCATCAGTGTTATCTAAGTCCTCTCCATTACAGTAGAGCGGCATTGGCGGAGGCGTTACACGCAAAGCCTCCTCGCCATAAACATCACGGGCAACCACGTCATGAGTATGCAGCAAGGCCTAAACAGAAGAAATAAAAAATAGACTCGTGGTTGGTAATTAACATTTTGACATTAAAAAAATACGGCGACCATAACCAGTGCAACCAGTAAGTAGTCAATTTTTACAAGGATAATTTCCTATAATAAACTAGGTCTCTAAATTTCGCACTGAAAAATGAGTTAGGTGTACATTTGCGTGTAATTATACCATAAATGCCTAATGGAATTTTATTTTTAGTTTCCGATTATCTTACCAAATCCCAAACCATGGTTCACTCAATGATATAAAAACAGAAAATGTGGTATAAATCATATATATATATATATATATATGGTATTGGTTATCATATATATATATATGGTATTGGTTATCATATATATATATATATATATATATGTGGTATTGGTTATGGTTCTATATGCAGAATATGAAATGCCTATAAAATGGAAATTTCAAAAGGACAATGATCCAACGCGATTTAATGCAACGCTGATGTAAAGCAGTGTTGCGCACCAAATGTTTTAAATCCACGAAAATAATCAGCCTTATTCTGGATGTCAATTCCACGTGAATTTACTCGCTTTTCCCCTTCGACTTATTCTGAACAACATTTTTGTGTGAATTTTTGTTCGCATTCTCGCTTTCGCCTTATTCTGAATGAAGTTCGAAAGCGAAAAAATCCGCTTTGGGAAAAAATTAGGTATTCTGGATTACAGGGAGTAGGAGAATGAGATGAAATTTTGTGCGAAATTTTTCGCTAATAAATTCAAAGTGAGTTGGCTACGAAAACATAAGTTATAAATATTTTTATGAAAAATATTAACACAATACTTATTCTATGACGATTTAGAATGTTATAAATGATAATAAGGAAATATTTATCTGGAAAACAGCAAATAAAATGCCTTTGGAAATCCTATTGATAATGATGCATGCTGAACCAAATATTGCCAAGGAATGTATAAAGGTAATAATGAATATTTAAGTCGAGTTTGATGCATTTGGGAGGCGAAAAACAGACACTTTGGGTGAGGATCTGTCTCTCAAGAAAAAAATTATAGAAAACCCAAATTTGCCTAATGAGCCGCTTAACAGTGAAAACTTAAATAAAAATTATGAAACAACACAAAAAAAATACAAAAAATATTTTTTTTTCAAAATTATCGTTTGCATTATTTGAAGGAAGAAATAAAGGAGTAGGCCACTTTAAGAATTTGGAGAGATAAAATATCGAAATTAAATTAAAGTGCACACAATTATGTGCCTGTGTTTTTGCCATCATAAAAAAATGTTCTTTTATTTGTAATCTATTGTAGTTGTTGTACCAAATTGCATCAAAACAATGAACAGCTGTTTCACATGTCATATTGTAGGTTGCCATATTTTCAAACTTTAATTAATTTTCTTTTAATTACAAAGCATTTATAAAGCGGATTCTTGATATTTCACATTTGTATTGTTATAAAGATTAAACAACAATAACAAGTAACAATTTTTAATAAAATAATCAATAAATAAAATATTACACAATTAAAATACAATGGGGCAACATACATTGCAACTTAAATTACAATATGGCAACACACATTACAACTTAAATTATAATATGGCAACACGAATCTTTTTTTCAACCACCATTTTCGAAAACTCGAATCCGCATCTCGCATTTTTTTGGTCTCCCTATTCATTCAGAATAAGGCGAAAATGTGAAAGCGAAAATTTTTGTACATGCGAGATATTTCCCAGCGAATATCCAGAATAAGGCTGAATGTGTATTTTATCACGTTACCGATGCTGAAGAGCTGCTATTATTTGACCGACCTCATTTCAAGAATATATGAATATTTCAATGCATTACGCTGAAATTATTTTCACCGCAGCTGTATATATACGCACATAAATAATATATTTCCAGTCAAACGGTTGGCAAATGAGGAAAACGCATTTCAAGTTTGAGAAGCACTCTTGCCGTTACTTAGTGCTAACACAATAAATCGGCTATATCTTCAAGAGTTTTTGAGAATTTCACCTGAAATTTTAAATTGACATTCTTGATATTGTATAGGTTCGAATTGAATAAAAAACAACTTCATTTTTTGAAACCGAGAATTCGGGGTGAGATGTCCTTTTAAGGGATCCTTTGAAATGCATTCCTAAAGTTTTTAAAAAAAATATCTACATCTGTAACTCTCGTGGATAATAACATTTAAAGAAACTCGCTGCACGTTGTGTGTCAATGAAGCGGGCCCCACGTTGGGCGTCAGTGAAGAAACTCGTAACAACAAGATTTAAACTAATGTTGGCTACTCCTTGTTTAGGAACTACTTCCAGCTTATGATCTAGTCCATTAACTTGGGCAAGCGTGGGTAATGATCTTAAGCCTTCAGTGTTCGCTTAAACGAATTAGAGCCGGGTGGTGCAGGACTCGGAGTGTAGCTGATTTTATTGAAATTATATTGAGCTTAGGTACTACTTATGAGAAGCAAGATCTTCGTCTAGTATTGGTTGTGTAATAATGTAGTAGATTCAGAGATGCAGTTTTTGGTACTATTTACAAATTAATTTCAAATGTTTAAAACAGAGTTGCATTTTAGTATTTAAATGATCAATAAAACGTATGTATTTATACTATAGCAAATAATATTTGAATAAAAACAGAGTTGACCCGCTTCACTTTTTTTTTATTTTGTTAACGTAAAGTACACTTCATTTTTAAAAGAGAATGAACTATTAATAGAATTGGCAGTACATAAAATATTTACAGTTCCTACATACGGAATTAAAAATTATGACGGGTTGTGATCTAATAAATACCAATCCCTCAAGTGTAAAGGGACATAACATTTGTTACAAAGATATGTATTCTGCAATAGTTGCAAATTGTTTATATATTTAAATATGTGATCTTTTTCATCAAAATTGGAGTGCATATGAAGATGTAAAATTTTGTTGAAAATCAACGGCAAACTTCTGTAAAAACGGATGTTCTAAATTTGAAACTGACAAAATAGTACATTAATTTTCCACCGTCATTTTAAAGTAAAGCAATTTGAATAAAAACAGAGTTGACCCGCTTCACTTTTTTTATTTTGTTAACGTAAAGTACACTTCATTTTTAAAAGAGAACTATGAACTATTAATAGAATTGGCAGTAAATAAAATATTTACAGTTCCTACATACGGAATTAAAAATTATGACGGGTTGTGATCTAATAAATATCAATCCCTCAAGTGTAAAGGGACATAACATTTGTTACAAAGATATGTATTCTGCAATAGTTGCAAATTGTTTATATATTTAAATATGTGATCTTTTTCATCAAATCTGGAGTGCATATGAAGATGTAAAATTTTGTTGAAAATCAACGGCAAACTTCTGTAAAAACGGATGTTCTAAATTTGAAACTGACAAAATAGTACATTAATTTTCCACCGTCATTTTAAAGTAAAGCAATTTGAATAAAAACAGAGTTGACCCGCTTCACTTTTTTTATTTTGTTAACGTAAAGTACACTTCATTTTTAAAAGAGAATGAACTATTAATAGAATTGGCAGTACATAAAATATTTACAGTTCCTACATACGGAATTAAAAATTATGACGGGTTGTGATCTAATAAATATCAATCCCTCAAGTGTAAAGGGACATAACATTTGTTACAAAGATATGTATTCTGCAATAGTTGCAAATTGTTTATATATTTAAATATGTGATCTTTTTCATCAAATCTGGAGTGCATATGAAGATGTAAAATTTTGTTGAAAATCAACGGCAAACTTCTGTAAAAACTGATGTTCTAAATTTGAAATTGACAAAATAGTACATTAATTTTCCACCGTCATTTTAAAGTAAAGCAATTTTAACGGCGTAATACAGGGAATATATTTTTCTAACGAAAACGAACACTGTCTTCGGAGTTGATAAAAAAACATATACATTTCAGACCGCAATCCCTGAATCTTTTACGTTTTGATTTCTTAAATCTTTTTAACTACGGTAACATTGTGCTTCCTTCCAACCATAGCAATTATGGTTTCCGTTGAACTAGAAACGGTTGCATTTGGATTTGTCGATAACTGTTAAATTTTTGTGCCCGTTGTGCCTGGCGCCCTAGCCGGTTTTTTAAATATGTTTAGTTTTTCACATAATTTGTCTTACATATATATGGGCAATATTGCCAATTTTTTAACATAGCTGAAGCGGAGGTTCACCCCTTTATAACTCGGGAACTACTTAAGTATATGAAAAAAAGTGAATAGTTTTGGATTAATTGATCTGTCGTTGCAAACTGTTCATAATATTGACCTCCAAACTTTATTTTGGTGGAAGCTGTGTCTACTTTAATGTAAAAAAATGTGCAAAAACAGGTTGAGGCAAACCAGTTTTTTTATGTTCTCTATCGATTTGTGACTAAGCCACTCATTGCACGGCCTTCGTGTTAAAATAAAACTAAAAGCCAACAAAATGGGGACTACACCCCCTTTGTATCATTTTTCAAAATTTTAACTGCATCTACCTTTAAATGATGCTGACATTTTGAAGCTCGATTTTGAGTGTTTTTTAATTTTACTTCTAGCTTTAATACGCCAACAGGAATTTATAAAAACCGATTATATGATTATTGTAGTCGCGAATCTGCGTAATTTGATATGTATTTTGTGTATGTAGTATGCACTGCTTCAGAGTAATACTCATCCGAAGGTGAACATTTTGTGCGATCAAATTTCTAAAAAATCTATTTTTCGGGCCAAATTTTTAGATCTGCCAACTGAATGATATGGGTACCCGCGATCAATAAGGTTTTTTACGTTTCGGATGATATAAAATCTTTTTCGTGAAAATCCATCTACTAGAACGGCGGGAACTGACCTTCCAAAAACACGAAATTTGGCAAAAAATGTTTTTGAAAATATCGCGGATTTATTTGCGTTTTCTGTGTATCATTTCCGCTTCAATAAATGGCCTCATACGGATTTTGATCTTTTTCGAAAAGAGAACTTTAAAAACTTCAGCCGAAA